AGGTCTCCACTGAATCAGTGGCATGAAAAACAGGGTAGCTGTAAACTTGCCAGCATGCCAAAAGGATGAAGTTACCCTTTTGGGCACAGTTTGGGCATATTTTTCTCATAGCAAGAAATGAAAGGTTTAGGAACAGGTCTCAGACCCTGTATTGATTCATGGAGCAGTGCAGAGATATATGCAGGTATTACACAATTCTCTCTCAGTAACATACCTGCAGATAATACCTGCTCCTATTGTGCTGCCCATCTCTGAGCACACAGGGTATTATTGGCCTCCCTGGGAATAGGTGTACACTTAGGATCACAGAATCCTAGAATCATTTGGGTTGAAAGAGACCTCAAAAAACAACTAGTTCCTGCTCTCCTGCCATGGGCAGAAACACCTTCCACTACCTCAGGCTGCTCCAAGCCCTGTCCAACCTGGCCTTGGACACTTCCAGGGACAGGGCAGCCACAGCTTCTCTGGGCACCCTGTGCCAGGGCCTCACCATACTCACAGGGAAGAATTCCTTCCTAATGTGTTCTGGGCTCCAGTGCTCTGCTGGAGCTCACTAACCCAGGGTTTTGGGGCAGGACAGTCCTTGTTTTGTTGTTTTGAATGAAGTTTAGCACAATGGTGCTCTGAACTCAGCTGGGGTCTTATTATATGAATAAACACTAAGTGACTGGAGTGAAATAATAAGCAACACTGACAACAAGGACTAAACAATCTCCATTTATTTAAACAAAATGGAGATGGGGGAATACAGCAAGTTGGTATTTTTTCCTGTTCATGTTCTATGGAAATGAATGTGTTTTGTCCCCCAAAACTTCTCAGATTTGCATGGGGAGATTCAGTAAGAACTCTGAGGCCAAAAAAAACGTATTGAAATTAGAAGGCAAAGTGTGATACCCCAAAGCAACAATGAAGAATTCTAGCCCATAAGGATGCTGACATGGATAGCATGCAAGTAGGAGCTAAGGAGAACATCCAGAGATGTATAGTGATGATGAATACAGATAGGAAGTAAAGGAGGATGTCCTTGCATACACCCAGTGCTCAGATGGATGTATAGTCTCTTTGCAATGCCAGCCTGGTTTGCAGCTTCTGGATCTAACCAGATGCTGTGCAGGAAGCTACAGATGTAAGGTTTCATGAATTCTGCAAAATAAATCTTTTCTCCTAGGAACTGTTTGGCTGTAAGTAACTTTGCACTGGAGTTTCTCAGATCAATGGTTCAAACTCCAGGAACTGTCTCAGTACATGGATTGGAATTCTTGATTTCACTGGAACCTGGGCAAAGCTGCAGCATCTACAGGTACTCAGAGGACATGGAGGAACCATAGGGAGTGATCATTCTCCCCTTCTTGGGGAGTACTGCAAGAAAGAAAATGCTAAGGCAGGAAAAAAAATCAAGAGTAAAAAGTTGAGCCACAGGAAGACCCTTTCCCCACACAAGAAAGAAATCTACATGAGAGTGGCTTTCCTTCTTGCACACTGCAGACCCTTCACAGCTAGTGAATGACACAAGTCATTTCTCCCAGCTGCCAAGGAGCTCAGTCTCAGCTTTTCATCTGCTCTGGGCACAACTGGCTGGATCTCACTTTGGAGTTAGCAGACTCGAGGGCGATGAGAAAGGCAATCCTACCTTCTTACCCGGGGAGCGGATTAAAATGAAACGATTTTTCCTTTTTAGTAGTGCACGCAGCTCCTGGCACTTGTCATAACTCTCCAGTTCCACCGTTTCTATGCACTTCTGTTCATCCTGCAGAGAGGGAATGAAACATTATTATGAATAGAAGGCATTGAAATCAATCATAGACCATCAAATTCTGCATTTCTTCCCTCTGCAACTGTCTAAAAGCTCTTCTGCCTTAAAAATAACCTGCATGCAGACAGAAAGCCCCATAAATCAGGCTGGCATCTCATTAAGAAAATACCCTGGTCTTTAAGCTACAGGCCTAGTGGTCCACAGTGGCTGAGCAAATAACAGGTTGGGGACAGAAACACCAGCTTCTGCCATTGCTGTTGGCCTCATCCAGGGATCTGCAGCCAGAAGTGACACTACCTCCATCCCACAATGAAAGGAGAAGATGTGATTCTGCTTTTTCACAGGGAAGGTGACACAAGCATCACAATGGACCAAGCAGCCCCCTCAGGAAGCCTGAGCCAGAGCAGGGATAAGAGGGAAGCCCTGCTGCCACACTGAACTGGGGCAGACTGGTCTTCACATCACAAAGGTCAGCAGGAGCCACTTGTGATGGACACAGTCCTCTTGCAGCCACGCTCTGAGCTGTCAAAACACTTAGGATTGGAAATACAGCCCTGTACAGCCAGCAAAACTGTCTGGGCCAGCATCTCAGTGGGGAATATTTATCTCTGGAGTATCTCCACTGATGACTGCCGGCCGCGATCTTGGCTCATTTCTCCCAGTAACATAACTAAAATTCCACACGTGGTGCGTGGCTCGGTTCAGCTGCAGAGCACCATCCCTAATAGGAATCGCAGCGTAACACTGGGCAGATAATATTCTTCATGTCTCAGTAGCCCAGCAGAGACCAAAGCTCCCTTTTGCTAAGCACAAATGAGCAGTGAGTATCTCAGAGCAGTTCTTGCCAGTGAAGTGCTTCAGTCAGCATGGCTCATGAACCTCTCCAGTACCATCCTGAATTTAAATCGCTGGGCATAACCACCCCCAGCTCCGGCTCTGCTCCCAGGACAGCTCCTTGTGCCCGTGTCAGTTTGTATTTAGCAATTCCTGTAGCGGAGAAGGGGGTGTGGGATGAGGAAACATGTCGTAGCCAGGAAGCTGCTGCGTGGCTGGAGGCAGGGAATGGAGAGTTCAGAGGGAAGTGGGCTGCGGGGAATTTCCTCCCTTTACCACTTGACATTTAAGTCGCTGTGCAGAACTCAGCCTGCGTTTCAGTTTTTTTAACCCTCCTATCTGGGGATCGGGCCCGGCAGAGCTGATGCCGGTACACAGAGCAAGTCCTGAGCCACCGAGGGACGTCTGGATCTAATTTAGGTTTATTATTTTAATGACATTACTGTTTATTTCATTTAACACTGAGTAGGTGAATGTGAACTGGGAAAATGCATACTAGGAGGAGGAGATTAATCCTGCCCAAACCTAAAACCCAGCCGATAAAATCCTGCTGACGCTACCGGGCCCTTTGAAGGCTCCTGCTGCAATCCTGGTATCGCAATGTCACTGCAAAAGGACAGGGATGGAAATAATAACCCCTCCGCGGCCAACAAATGACAGAGAAGGGTGAGGTCAGGAATACATGCCTCGGGGATGGGTGATCTCATCCTGGCCTTCGGAGGAAGACCGCCCACGTTACAGCCCTGCTGCACGGCCGGTGCAGCTCCCAGCTCCTTCCCTGGGCTCAGGATCTGAGCAGAGAGCAGCCCCAAGCCTCCTGCCCACCCTCCCTTCTCTCAAAAGCAGCTCTGTCCCCAGCAGAGCCCCTGTCACCCTCCTCGTCCATGCCATCCTTCCTGCCTCTTGGACAGGAACTCTTCCTCTGATCTCGTGCAAGCTGTGCTCCATTTCCTAAGGGCTGTGGAACACCAAGCTGGGGAACGAGGGGACTTGGCAGGGTGGAGAGATGTGGTTTTGCTGTGAGATTGCCTCTTGCCTTCCAGATGCCTGTCTTCTCCCTGTGGAGGCTTTGGGGAGTGTGACCCAGCCAGGGAACAAAGGCAGAGAGGATGGGGACATGCAGGATGCTGTCACCCAGAGACACCTTGATTGTTCAAGTTATGGCTCCTTCATCTCAGGGACCTGAACTTGTCAAGTGAATTATCCTCTTCAGGGAAAGCAGGAAAGAAAGCAGCCAGAGAAATAGAAAAATCCATGTATGAGGCAAAGGAAAAGCATCTGAGTTCAGGGAGCACCAGAATGGGGCTTTTGTCTATGTTTTACCCTTGGCAAGCAGCCATCCCCTCTCTGTGAGCCTACCTGGGTCACAAAGAGATCCTTTATGTCTCCTGCACTGCTAAGATAAAGAACGAAAGACCTGACCCTGATGCAGGTCCCCAGATCCCTTCAGCCTCCTGGGACCTGGAGGACACTCAGCACCATGCAGAGACAAGGTCACTTCCAGACTCCTGCCCTGACACATGTTCTGGAGAAGCTCAGTCCTGGTACAGAATCCTTACATTCATGATTTAATGCAGAGAAACTATTGCATTAACCCTTCATGGAGCAGATCCTGTGACAAACATATCTGTGTCTGTTGGCTTGGCCCTTAGGAAGAAAGTTACTGAACACCTGAACATATTAATGCATGTGCTTAACCAAAGAATCACACTTGGCAAACAATTTCCTTAATGAAAAGTTTATAAAAAGGTGGGGGGAAAAGACCTGAAATTTTTATTTATATGAAGGTGTAATTCCCAGCAAAAACCTTCTCACTGACACACACACTCAGGGGCTGAGCCCTTCCATTCAGTTTAAATGTCTAGACCTGAAATAATAATTTTTTTTTCTCTATTTTAGGCTCTCAAAATATTAACAAATTTGGGCATACCTTGCTATAACTTTACCAGGGACAAAATGCAGGTGTTAAGTGTCCAACTGTTGAGTGCTAGGTGGATCCTCTGGTCTCTAGAATCTAGTAGGATTTTTCCCTATACATAATACACTTATAAAGAAACCCTAAAACAACAAGAAAACAGCTCTAAGCAATAGCTGCACTGTTTAGGGGATAAAAAAATCGAAACTCAGTGCTGATGCATTCTAAACCATGAAGTGATGATACTGATCTGTCTAGTCACCTTACATAGGATTGCCTGGTCTTCAGACACTCTCTGTATGGTTTTTATTGTCACAAGAATATGCAGAGACAAGAAGACAAGAAATCCCACTAGAAAATAACCTGATTGGTTCTGCACAGACCTGCACAGCAGTTTTTTGGGATCTGAGCACCCTGTATTTGCATCAGTGCCTCCTTTCCTGACATTTGGGTATGTAACATACAAACAAAAAGTTGCTTAACTGCATCTTCATTTAGGTGAGGGTACAGAGTGCTGTAGATGGAGGCTCAGCAGAGAACAAGAAATCCATCTCCATTCTCCATCCACTGAAAGAATCTTGTTTCACCCCATCTGTTCCAGGTAACACAATAGTCATTTGCCACTTGCCTTCAGGAGGTGGCTCTGCTTTAAACCAAACCCAAAGCCTGACTAGCAGATGCAGCTTGGGAAATACGTTCCCAGGGCAGGTCAGGAGCACATTCCTGGAGATCGCTACTGATGATGATATATGGTATTTGTGTGCTGCTCAGACTGTACTTCCCAGTAACACTGTACAATGTTCTTTTCTGTATCTCGTGTTGGCTCTCCCCTCTGCTCTTGTTTTGCACCTAAACCTCAGCTACAAGTGCAGCCAGGCTCATGCAACTGCAGAACAAGATGGCCTGCATAAGAAACAAATGCTAAAGGCAACATTAGCACCTTTTTTGTGAAGGGCTGGACATGGGAGGGACTGAGAAAAGCACACTGACTCTCAGGCACTACTCAGTTCCTGGAAATCTGATGGGCTCAGACCAGCTGAAATGCTCAGCCTCCAAACCTGCCTGCCCACATGGAAGCTGACCACCACCCCCCCCCGTTTAAATCACATAAGTCTAATTTAGGATACTTATGGAGAGATGCCTTTTATTCCTGTTGCCTGAGGTTTTATCTCCTTTCTTTTTCAGCAAGCACTGAACAATCCCATTTGTAAATGTTTTGGCCTGAGGATGGTCTGGAATGCTGTGTCCCTCTCCAGGGTCACACAGAGCAGATATGTGGAGAAGGTCCAGTGGGAAAAATGGCACCTTGAACTCCAGAAATGCAAACCACCATAGCACACTGCACCACAGACTCAGCTCAGATATCAGCCCTTCCCATCTCAAAAACTTAGTTCCCCATTTGTAAGATAGAGACAGCCACACTGCCCTGACTCACATTAAAGGAAGATAAATACAGTAATAAACATGAACTGCCTCAATTCTGCTGCAACAAGACCCCTCCTGAGTGCAGAAAATTGCCATTTCCTTTGGTTTCCCTGTAGTAAGTCTGCACAATCACATGTTATCCTATTGTGCTACCAGATAATTTTGCAGCAATTTCCTCTCCTAAGACATTTGACTTCACTGTAAGCCAGTTTAATAGCCTATAGATATTAACATGATCCCTTATTTACAATAATGGGACCTTGCAGCTACTGTAGCTTACAGATGCAATTTATTACAGGATGTTACCACAATCCGCAGGCTACCAGAAAACATTATGCCTGGTTGTTACAAATGCCATTTTCCTTGTTGAGATAATAAAATAACCCTTTAAATGATTGGGATTTTTCCTTCTTCTGTATGTCTGTGAAAATTAATCTTACTTTAAAAGCCTCCTTTTCCCTTGTGGTAATGAGAGCCTCTATGTATCTTGTTTTTTTACAAAAAACCTACGTCATGCTTATAGATTTTGAATCTTCAAGTTCCTGAAGCTTCAGCTGGAGTCAACAGGTGTCCAGGGCACTGGGAAATGAACTACAGAGAGTCAACAGTTTGCAGGACCAGGCTGCATCCCTCAGGGTAAGAGAACCCCCCCCCTTGCTTTTCCTGCCTTCTGCACTGCTCATCACCTGACATTGACTGCTCCTGTCATTATTCTTGCACTCTTCATGACATTTCACGGCTAAGAACAAATGACACCAGAAAGCTTTGGGATTTGGGAAGAGCAGGAGCGTTCAGCATAAGGGAAGAGGTAGTACCCTTTAACCTAAATTGTTTATAACAAATCTTCTTTATTAGGCAAGAGCATGTTTTCAAAAAAGAGAACTGAACTCACTGTCAGTCCTGCTGTTCCTGAAACTACAGCAGCAATGCAGCTGCTGAAACATTTCCCCATTCTTCTTCCCTTGACACACTGCACATGAAGCTTTACATGGTTTTGCTTTTATATCGTCCTGATGCCCACACATGACCCAGATCCTCTTGGGCCAGATACCTCACCTCACAGGCACGTGGTCCTTGGGCAGACCACAGTCCCCCACCCTGCTGCACACACAAGCCGCTGCAGGGCTCAGACCGACCCACCCCTCATCTCAAACCTCTCTTGGTTGTAGTTTGTGCTCTGCACTGTAATTTCTAATTTTTGGGGCAAACTCTGCTCTTACAGAAGCTGCTTCCAGCCCAGGAACAAGGGCTTGGCTCAGGACAAAGCCACCTTTGCATCCTGGCAGGACCAGCCCTGCACTTTTCATTCTTCTCGCCTGAAAATGCAGGACAGATTCGGCTTGGCTCTTATTCCTCATTTGTTTGGAAGCAGCTCTAAGTACGGCCATGAACTTAAGGCATGCAGTTTATCTAGGGAAGTCCAGGACAAGGCTCCCAGGGGTCCTTCGCTCAGAACTGGCTCAAGTAAAGGGAAAAGATGAGCCAAATCCAGACTGTCTGTGCTTAAGGAGGACAGCAAGCACTCACAATCTCACTCTGCATCCTTCAGTGGCTAAAAGAAACCCTGAAGAGTCTGGCTGGCAACAATTTGGGCTGCTTGAGGGGTGCCAAACAGCTGCAGGGTTGCCTGCCATTCCCTCAAGTGGCAGGTGGAAAGTCAGCCTGCTGCAATCACTTTTATCCTTCAAAAGCCAAAACCTCATTGCACATATCCTGCTTCCGCCTAAAGCTTTGCTCCGTTCACCTTCTCACAGGATGTCCTGCCCCCCCATTTTTTTATTTTGGCAAGGACTCTGTCAAAATATTCAGTGGCTAAAATATTTATAATATATAATATATTTAAAATGCAGCTGCCATCTCTTTTACAGAGTTTACCCTTCCTGGAGATAGCTGGAGAAGCCCTCTCAAAAGGAATGTCCTGGAGGGAAGAGTAAAAAAGGGACATGCATGTGTCCCCAGGGGTTTGTTCCTGCCCCTCATTCAAGGCCATTAGCTGTGACCATACCTCATCCTCGTAGACCACGAGCTGTGTTTTCCGTAGCTGGATGTAACGATCCTTCCACAGTCCCAGGAGCCCCCCACTGCTTTTTTTAATCCAGCCATATTTCTCTGCGGTTGGAGCACACTTTGGTTTCTCTGACACCTCTTCCTTTGTATCCTGCAAGAAGACATAAGGAGTTTCCATCATCAGAAAGCCGTCCCAGAGAAGATTTTGGCACCCACCAAATGTGGTTCCTCCCCACCGCATTACAACGGGAGACTGGCATCTTCAAGAGGAAAACTCAACCAGCTCCCACAGGACTGGGAAGTGGGCACAGATCCCTGCCATCCCTGGAGACTCTGTTGGGAGGGCAACAAGTCCACCTTGTTCCTCTGCTCCCCCAGGGGCTCTGCTTCCCTCTCTGGGGAGGTACTTCTTGCTCACTCATGAAAAAGAGCAGCCTTCTCTCCCCTTTGCTCCTCCAGCTTTCTGATGATTCCCAGCACAATGGATTCTGCTGGCATCAGTAGCAACACTCATATTTCAGTCCAAGGCCACTTCTGCAAGCTTCTCTTCTAGGCATCTGTGCTTAGTCACCATCCCCACACCAACTCCTGTGCACAAATCCATGGCATGAGGGACAGGACTTCACACTGAAATGTTCCCAGCAGGTTAAAGATGAAAGCTTTCCTCCTTTCCAATGCACTGAAGAGCCATTGCAAAGGCAGGATCCCTGTAGCCCTCCCTTGGAGCTCTCTGATGCTCCCCACACCCCATGGCCCCCTCAATAAGCCTCTTTCCCCAGAACAAGGCAAGGGGAATCCCTGGCTGAGCCAAATCCCCTTGCACAATCACCTCATCAACCTTGTGATTTGTGAGGAGAAGCGAAAACCAAATCCTCCAACCTCTTCCCAGGCACCCCACTGTCCCCCACACTCTGTTTTCTCCATGCCCCCACATGTAACAGCAGCAATCCTGCTGCAGAGAGCTGGCACACAAAAAGAGGATCTGTGACAAGAGAGCCCCAAATATCCCAACTGCACAAACTGGACCAGCTGGAGCTCAGACATCTTGTTTCATAACATGAGAAAATCCCAAGTGCACGGAACAGAGTCAGAGCTGGACACTCCCATAGCCAGGACAGAGCAAGTGTGTGTGGACAAGCTTCAAAAATTTGGAGGAGAGCCTTGCTAACGAATCTGTTTTCCTGCACCAAACTCCCACTGAACACACCCTTGGACAGCAGCTTTCATCAGGGTAAGCTCTTATTCCAAAGAAGGAGCTCGCACCCATAAAAAGAAAAACAGCTTAAACACCCTGTGCACCCACATTTATTCTGACCTCCACTAAGATCTGGAAGGGGCTGGGCTTTGCTGGCAGGCTCAGGTGCAGACTGGGAACAAGAAACTTAAATAGTGTTTCACCTGAAAGAAAATTGGGCTGAAACCTGTAACAACCTTGGTGCCTTTTGTAGAAGTTATTTCAGTTGTACTGAGTTGCATCTGAAATGGCCACAATACAGGATGACTGAGCATCAAAAAGTTTTCCGGGAAATGGAGGGACTGTGTAGGGTGGGTTTTTTTTAAACTTGACTTTTTAGGTTGCCAGGAAGTCGAATTCAGTTGAGATCTGCGACTTCAGCAAACATCAATTCCTGCACAAATACAGACCTGCTGGTTTCCTGATCAAGAACCCTTTTGATGTCATTTTTAGATAATTGGGCATGGACTATAACCTCCCTCGTAGCACTTGTGCATGGATGTAGCTGTATGAAGAGTTTATTCAAGTGAGTCCTGACCAACAACTGCTAAAATGTTTTTACTCGTTAGGGCTTTTTTTTTTCGCTTGGCAGGTGAATTTTTGCTGGGTTTCTTTTCCCTCACCTGGCAGAAAGGCTGAAATCACATGGTAAATATGTCTTTTTTTTTCTCAGCAGAGCAAAAACTAGTCTGGTTTTAAAATAAAAGTACTCCTTGTGAAGACACAGCACCTAACATCTACCGCTGAAAAACGATCTGCCCCAGCAGAGCTTGGGCTCATGTTGGCGCCTCTGCACAAGGCACAGCGAGGGCAGAGATGGTTTAGGGTCTGGCTCTCCAGCCTTTCAGAGACTGCCACATCTCCTTGACATTGAAGGGTTGTCTTGGAGTTCCCCAGATCACTCAGGAGCCCTGGGTGGAACCCTTGCCTGAAAGGAGCCATGCATGGGGGACTCCACCATACCAGACAGGACTTCCTGTTGTGCCAGCACCTGGGAGCATCCACATGAGGATCCATGACTCCAAGCCCCACCTGAGCAGGAGAGGGAAGGTGAGGGAAGATGCAATGAGATGGAGAGTGCTGGTCTCAGCAAGTGACAACAGCCACAAGCAGAGGGCTCTGCCCCTTGTACTGCACATGAGTCACCTGAGCTGCCTTCTCCATTCCCTGATACAAGGCAGATGTGAGGGGTGAGATCCAGCACTCATAGGGATGCTGAGCTTCTGGGCTCTGGGTCAACAGCTTCCCCCTCACACGTACCCTGCACATCCCACGAGGGGGGACAGGTGCTGTAATCCCTCACCTGCAGCTCAAGGACATAAAAAACCAGATGATTCAACTGGGAAGTTTGTTCCTGCAAGAAGCAAGAAGTCTCAGAGATGGTGCCAAACATTTTTGAGGATTATTTTTATGCCAGCCCTGCCCCAAATTGGCAAGGGGAGGGACGGGCACCAGCAGCAGGCCATTGTGTCCATCCTGTGTTCTCTGCCTGCAATTCCACAATTAAAATGGGAACATGACACAAAAACATGAGCTGCTGTTGTTAACTCAGCTATATACGAGCATTTTACAAGAAATATTAAGATATCCTTCTTGGGATCTTCTTGGGGTGTATTCGTTCCTGTGGTAATTCCATGAGAAGAAGCCCCCTGACATCAGTCAAGTGAGCCAGTGTAAACAAAGGAAAAACCAAGTTATCCCCAAGCTGGCTCACACCAAAGGCATCGCTCCCCAAACCGACCCATAGGGGCCATTTTTGCATTTTATATCACGGTGGCATTAGAAGTGAAACATGAGTTCCACTCCTTCAGCTTGGTTTAGCCTCACATTTTGCAGCTCAGCAGAGAACACAAATCAGACAGGATGGCTTTTTATTTAACAACTAGGCAGTTTTTTCTCCCCTTCCCTGCCCTGTATTTTATGGGCCCACAAACCCACATAGTCTTCATGTTTTCCAACAAAACAAACCCCCAAGAGTTGAATTATGGTAGTGCTTTTAAAATTACACAGAGCACAGAAGTGTCTTAGCCAGTTACATCAACTTAATTTCAATCAAGCATCTCACTTATCACACACTCCTTTCTACCAAGGTGCTGATGAACAACTCCCAGGAGACAACCTGCATCCCCACGCATCCACTCTTTTTCTCCTTTTCCACGTTATCTCCCAAACCTTGCTGACAGCACTTCCAATTCTCCCCAGCCTGCTGAAGCAGAACAGTTTGTTTCACTGGAAACAAACTGCTCAGATCCACGTGGAACTTGGGGAACATCCTCTGACACCCCTTCTACAGGCAGGAGGATTCATGTGTCACTAAAAATGAGAAGCCCACAAGATGGTCAGTCAGTGCTGGGGTAGGTGCGAAGCCCCTTGGGCTGCCAGCTGGATGCAGTTTCTCTGCTGTGGATTAATTTCATGGATGCCAGCAGATAATAACAACTCTCAGTCACTACCAACTTGGGCTGCTTTGCTGTCTCCCTGCTGTTTTAAAAGAGCTTTCATTCTTGCCACAGAATGTTGGGAGCTGAAATAGGGGGATGTGAAGGGGGAGAGACAAGCCACAGCTACAGGGATCTCATGTACCAGACAGAGCCTGAAGTCCTCCGGCAGTCCGTCCTAGGAGTTTTCTTTGTGCACGACCAGCAAAACCTCATCCAAGGAAAGGAAGCAGGAATAATTGTGTGGCCAGACGAGAGGAGAAAGCGACCTGTTTAACTTGCTAACAAATTTGTGGCATCTTAATCAATCCTCACAGGGATGGATTATTGGGGTGTCTGATCCCATGGACATGAAAACCGTGTGCAGAAGAAGCACCACTGCCCTTCTCTGAGTTAAACCCGTCCCAGACAGAAAGGAGGAGCAGAACAGAAGTGGGGAAGGCAGGAGGTGCGCAGACATGTCCAAGCTGGCGATCTGACCCAGGCTCGGCTCCAGCAGGGTAGGACAACACCCCAGCGGGAGTCACTCGGGGTGGCCCGAGCACGCGTGGAACCAGCGCGGGGGCAGCCCCTCCCGGCCGGGTCCAACATCCCGAGGGCTGCGGGGATGCGCTTCCGAGGCTCTGCCCGAGCCGCTCCGGGGGCTGCTGGGGATGGAGAACCCCCCACCCCGCCCCGCGGTCTCCCTCGCTGTCCCCCGGGCGCAGCGGGGCCGGGATGTCCCAGCGCCGGCGAACCCCCCAAAACACCCCGAAGTGCCCGGTGCGGTCCCCCTGCCGCGGCAGGCGCTTCTCCCGCCCGGCCCGGGGGTCCCCCCTCCCTGTCCCGGGGTCCCCCCTCCCTGTCCCGCTCCC